AAGTGGAAAGCAAGCAAAATACTTTTCTATCAAATGAAAAAGATGATCTGCTTCATGAGAGGGTATTGAGATCCAGCACTACTCAACATGGTACAAAGCCCTCGCCTTGCAGGGCCCTGCTGTCCCACTTCTCCCACGCAGCGGAAGAGTCGCAAACCCAAAACATAACCAGAAAATTGCCTTTGGATTCTGCATTTGACTCATGACAAATGCATATATTTATGGCATTATATATATATATATAATATATATATATATATATATATATGCACACACCAAGATAGCATTGCATTATTGCTGCAGCACTGGTAAATCCCTCATCACCAGCAAGATGCCAGACTACTCTGTGCAAAAGGGAGGCAAATCCTGGCCAGGAAGTGGCCAAGGACACAACGGAGGCACCATGTCAGGGCCACCCTACTGCCTCCCTCCACCAAAGGAAGGAGTGTGACGGGTACTGACAGCATGCTGACAACTGGGTGCCAATATCCGGGGATTTTTATTTTCCCTCCCCTTCTTTCCTCCTCCTACATGCAATGTTAGGAAGGCTAAAACTGAAATACTGCATCAAGCTGGTAGTGGCCACACTTCTCAAAGGACGTGAACAAGCTTACAGAAAACAACTGAAAAAAAAAAAAAAAGTCAGAAGACATGCTGTTAAGAAGATGCTAACAAATTTCTTCCAGGAAGAAAAGAGAAACATGTAGCTTACAAATTCTAATCTACGTAGGAAAAAAAAATATTTACCTACCTGAAAAAAAATATTTAGAAAAAAGATCTGGTGGCAGAAGCTAGAAAAGTTCACCAAAAATAAGAGAAAATTCAGCCCTAAAGTAATTAATGAAGCTCATCTAGGGATGGGAAGATTTCTGTTAACTAAAAGGAACTAAAACAGCATCTGCTGGCCTTTTAAAACTCCAGTATTTCCAGTCAGCAACGGAATACAGATGCAAGATTGCTATACTTGCCAAAAATATTCATGACTCCAGTGTAAATTATAACAATAGAGCTGAAAGCTTTCTGTTCAGATCCATTTTGAAGTTGGTATGAAGTGTTTGCTGGAATAAAACAAAGACCTAGCCTGCTACTAAATCTGAATCTAAAGTTACTTGTGTGCATATGCATGTGTACCCATGTGCCTGCACACACACGTGAATGTGTAATTTTATTTAGAGAGACTTTTAAAGTATCTGGAATAAGTGCTTTACTGCTACTCCTACATACAGTCAGAGGACAGATATCTTTATCCAATGCTATGACAAAATGATGCCACATGTAATAAAATGACTCCTTCACTTGTTGCTTAGAAAAAAAGGTTGTACCAGTAAATTCAGTTAGCACATGACAAGACATATAGGCACTTGTACTACAGACCATTTTGCCTGTTTCAGTACATGTTCCAAGTGAATTGCACTGCAGTAAAATCATATCTTCTATTAACATTTCCATTTTTGATTGTCAAATCAAACTTCAAATTTTGTTTTTGTGCTTCTTACTAATAGTATACTGGATTTATCTAGTTTCCTCAAACCAAATGTAAATAAACAGCCATCCTGCTTGGATAACAACTTTTGAACTCATCTGTAAAAATAAATGACTATTTATAGAGCAGTAACGCCAACTGCAATGCCTCACTCGGCGAGCAAACGCGTTATACTGGTAAACATCACAGAATCGGTGTCACTTTTGTAGTGGGGAGATCCCGACATTATCCCTTGATATTAGATGTGCTTGGCTGCAAATGAAAAACCTCACATACCACATCAGGTAACACCTGTAAAGCCATCTGCACATGTATAGGTGCACCGATAACAAGTGCTTCCTAAATTAGAGTTCAGTGAATTAGTTAAGATAGTCTGGACTCTACATGTTAAAACCACCACCACCATCAGCAAAAAAGACAAAAACAAAAGAGATTCTGAGATTAAATGCCCTCTTCCAGTTAAATGGATCTGGTTTTACTTAAGTGGGTGATAGCTGTATATTAATTAAAGCAAATCTCAAAAGGGGGCAGTGCAAATTGCTTCTTGGGGCAGTTGCAAGTTGAACTGCAGTATTCAGCAATTCATCTGGGTTTATGCTGAGATGGACTTCAGCACTGAATAATGTCAACAAAACGCTAAGTGCCTAAAGATCATTCAGAAATAAGAGATTCATGGTCAGAGCCAATCCACCTTTGTTTTGCAAATATTTCAATTAACAAATCAGTTTGCTATTCTTTTTTCAGATTAAGCATCTACAAATAAATGTACTACAAAAATCCAGTACCACTAGTAACTTTACAGTAGCTTACAAAGGCTGCATAGTTTAATGATTACCATAATTTCTGAAATGCAAAGCAAACCACAATCTTTTATCCTAGATTTTACTTTATCTCTTATCTGCCTTTTTAAAATGGGCAGTTCCTAAAATGCAATAAAACATCAGTGCAAAAAGGACTAAGCAGGACAAGCTATACAGTATCTCTCAGTTATAGCAAGCAAGCCAAAACCATACTCCATTTTTGACTGTGTATTAAAGTTAAGGAGGGAAAAAAAATAAATAATAAATAATAAAAAAAAAACATGGCACATGAATTCGGAGCTAGGAAAATGCTTATAAATGCATATCATGGCAGCTGCCTTTAGCTATCTCTTTCAGTTTTAAACCTATTCATGCACTTTTCTGATAACTTTTGTGCTCTATTCGGAAAAGTCACTAAGCATGTTACAATTTTACCAGAACAATACATGTTCAAGTTTCAAACAGGGAAAAAGAGCATGTGTTATTAGAAACTCAAACAATGCCAGTTAACACGATATCTCCACAGGAAAGTTTAACATTAAACTCTGAGTTTTCAGATTAAAGCCAGCTATAGAGGTTGGACAAATAGACATCACGTGGCTTTTCAAAAGAAACATGACCAAAAAAGAAAAAAAAAGCACAGCCCTCAGCCAGGGGTTGCACAGCTCCAGATGAGAGCCCCTGCAGGCCTCTACCAAGCACAGACCACAACAGTTCTCTATATTCCCTTTATATCTTCTACTAAACACACCTTGCCTTCAACATCAACCTAACTCAGCGCACTCATGAGAGCTGTGAAAGTTTTGCACCCTTTGGGAACCGTCTCACGAAGAGACCGGACCCTCGTGGCCTCCTCCCTCTGCTTCTGAAGGCCCCATCTCCCCTCCAGACTTCTCCTCCCATGGTGAGGAGGGCAGGGGCTCCTCTCGCCTGCCAGTCTCTCCGGTGGGAGCCCAACTCCGCTCCCCCAAAGCCCGGCGCCTGCCCCGAGCGCCATTCGTAGGGGTCCGAAACCCCCTTCATCATTCAGGTGGCATTTGTGACCAATGATTTGTGACCCTTTAGAAAGGGTTGAGGTGGCACTTGCACACAACCACGGCATAAACTTTCGAGCCATAGAAGCAGCTATCCGACAGCAAGGCACATTGAATACACCAGTTGCAATAACCACGCACTGCAATAGGCCGTACACTTAATTCTTATCAATTCAAGAGAAGAAATAGTCCGTTATTCCTACCAGTGCAGGAGTAGATAACTGGAGACCTGCCTTCAACACCTTTTTGCACCCTCATCTTCAAAGATGGCTCTGCTCCAAGACTGCACTGTGCACCACATGTGTAGTTCATAAAAGAGAAAAACCTCTGACACAGAACTCTTCAAAACAGCAAAACTGCTAATTTTCAGGATTGTTATATCCTGCCAATTCAAGTTGAAAAATTCAAAAGAGCACCGATAGTACCGATCACCAGAAATTACACAGAAATGGATTTGGTTTGTGTGCAACAGCTTTTTCTTTCAGAACTGGTTACAAATAAACTGGACTGCATCAAGTATGGACGAACACCCTGATCCAGCAACCTTTCAGAGTCCGAGAAGCACTGAGGAGCAAGTGCTCCTCTAAAATAAGCAGTATGAAAAATGTACTTTGACACCCAGACAATAAAGTACATCTCTTTATTTTAAAAGCCTACGAAGCCCGTTCTCTCACTGCGACAAAGTGAAAAAGCTGTGCAACTATTTTAATTCAGTCATCGTGGGAGTTGAATGCACACAATAAATGAAAGCTGAACAGCTCCATCCTCTCCTGAATGCAAAAGCTAGCTCTGCAAAAATAAACCGTACAGTAGCAGTAAATAGCTTCACAAAATACATATACACCTGAAGGAAAAGCAAAACAAAAAAAACAATAGATCTTATAGTCAAGACCTCAACTGTGCTGATCCATCCTGAAACACCTGTCTTCAAATAGTTCTACAGAATCACAACTTCACTTTAGTGGTCATGGAAGGGTTGTAGAAGGAAGATGAAAAACATCTCATGCCATGATCATGTGGCAATCCAACCAATAGCACTAGAAGCAGTACCAGCAATTTTATAGCAGAACATAAATGCCGATCAAAAAATCCACCCAAAAATGCGATGCTGCTTTTGACAGAAATGAAATTTTAAAAGCATCTTATTTACGTTTTGCATGGAATACTTTATATAGCAATAACATCCATTCCTTATTTTTATAACTGGTTTTACAATGAATCATTGCAAATATTTTATTTCAATCCAAAAATCATTTGTTTTATTCAGCATGATTTCTCACCTGCACTAGATCAATGATACTTCTGACTGCAGCAGTAGTTGCACAAGAAGTCATTAATTCTGGTGAATCCCTCAAAAATAGAGGGTAATTGGCAGCAATGATAAATATTTGAATTGAATAATGCAAAGTAGAATCAAACCCTCCATATTTGTCTGATAGCATATATCCACACACTAAAAAGAACAGATAGGAACTTCTCTATTGATCTGAATGTTGTTCTTTTTACTGCTTTCCTAAATACTGTATTGAAAAAAAAAAAAAAAAACACTATGTGAAGTACATTACTGTTGCTAGTCCACCGAGCTTGCTATTGAGAAGTGCCGTATGTTTTTTTGAGAGTATACCTTGCCAAGGGTCTTTTTCCCCACCAGAGCATTCACAAAGAAATTCCAGTATCTCCTACCTCGATCAAAAAGTCTCCAGTTCTCAAGCCAGCTTGCCATGCTACTCCCCCTTCGTCCACTGATTCCAAGTACTGCAAAGCAGGAAAGGCTGGAGTTGGGGTGAATTCTTCAATAGGTGTGTCAGCTTTAAAAATAAATACCACATTAAGAAAGAAAATTATGGAATGCTTACAAACATGACTTGGCTTAGGCCCTTTACTGGCCATTCACATTCATTTTTAGCTAAAAATGTTGGGTCCTGAAAGCGAGGGGACTGTGCCTCTGAGTATCAACATCCTGGGAACAGAGTGCAACCTCTCTACAGTCACAATCCACAGGTCGTCAATTCGGGGAGGGGAAAAAAAAAAAAAAAAAAAAAAGCTTCTTTACTGACACAAACCAGCAAGGCTCTAGGAAGCAGTAGCTGGATTCCAACTATTTCAGTATATTCAGCCTTACTTCAAGTAAACCTTTTGTGAGCCTAGCAAAATGCTTGTAACCCTGGAAACACTAACTAAAAATGAATTATGTGTAGCCAAAAGAAAGCCTCTGGGAAGAAGGGGGGAAAAAAAAAAAAGAGGGGGGTATGTGAGTACATAATAAAAAGCAACTAATTTTTTCTTTCAGATTTAGATGCATGTTATGAAGAAGATAACAGAAGAAACCATGATTTTACAGAAGGAAAGCAGAGCAGGCCTTGTGATAGCCTTCCCTCCCTCTGTCACGTACACAAGAAGCAGGAAAGTCCTTGGCTCTTTCACCTGAGGTGCCCTCGCTGGTACAGAAAAAACAGGGGAAAATTCTCGGACATGCACAGAGGGAGTAACTTCAGCTTGATGCATAGACAAACTCTGTCATTGAGCCAGCTGCTCGAAGGTAGCACTAATGACTTTCCTAGTAAAACTCTAAAGATGTTTAGTTAGCTAAAATTGGAAAAGCTTTTACCACACTGAAAATCCATGGTGTCATGGATTTGGGGGGTTGGGAAGAAAGGGGGGGTGCTGTTCAGGCAAAAATGAAGTCCCAGGAATGAAGGCTTGGAATATTTTTCATGTTCAAGAAAGGCAAGGGAGAACCCATGAAAAAAATAGGGGGAGCAAGAGATGGGACATACCATCATATTTATATTTTTAAATGCACAAGGGACGAATAGGACTGAAAGTCAAAAAACAAAGCATTAAACATAATGCTTTTTTAACTCTTAAAGATGCCATTAATGTGGGTTTTAGCCCACAGAAAAGTAACATGCAGTTTAACATATGAGCAGCTTTTTAAATGAGCACACTACAGGCCATGCAACATACGTGCAGTTTCTGGAGATACAAAAAATGCTCATATATTCATACTAAAACTGCACCAATGTCACCTTGCAGAAGATCCACACCTATTTTCAACAAAGCATCTCTCTCTCGCCTATTTCTATTCACAGAGCTATTTAAAGAGCCTGACATTGGAAATAAAGCGGCAGCTTTTGCAGGAGAAGCAGGCTTCCCCCAGCCAGACAAACTGCACAGCAAAACAGGTGAACGCCACAGCGTTACATATGCCAACGCAGGAAAAAAAAATGCAGATAAAACTTCCTCTTCCCTGAATGATTCTACGGTGCTTCTGCCGTGCAAAAAAGGCAGAGTGCTCGAGAGAGAAGCCCCTCGAGCCCACCGAGGAGCAGAGCAGACCGAGAGCCCTGTTGTCTAGCAACCGAGTGCACCACGAATAATTCCTGCCGATATGCAGGGATGTATAAATTTCTCCATGCCAGCGTACATCACACACACACACAGCCCGAGGCACCTACCTTTTGCCCCTCTGAGCACAAATCCAAATCCTTCATTGTCCTTTTTCTGCAGGACCACTGCCTTTTCTTCAATGATGCAGTCACTGTAGAGAGAATTCCGAGGATAGCGACCATTATTACATCCCTTCATCACCACCGTGGTAGCTGCTCCTCCAGTGTGCAGGTTCATCATCATCACAGCCAGTTAATCAAATAATATCGCAGTAACCAAGCATGGGGAAACACAGAACGGAGAGCGGCGGGGGGAGACAAAGACGGAGACGGAGGATGAAAGGGAACATGACAATGCAACTTAAAGGAAATAAAAAAGGCAGAGAGGAGAAAGAAAGAAGGAGAAATCATGCACGGTGGTTTGTGTTCTATATGAATGCCTGCATGGACATGTGATCATGTAATCTGTGGGCTAGCCAGGACTCTAAAAGGAAAAAAAAGTGAACTGAACGACAGCATCATTAATAAACTCCTCGATCGCGGATGTACCAGATGCATCTTCTAGTGAAGCCAAAATGAAACCAACCAGAAGAAAAATGAGGCAGCATTTTAAATTTAAAGAGAATATATTATGTTTTTATATTAGCTAACTAAAAGGCACAAATATATTCTGAAAGCTATGCCTTGCATCAAAAGCCCTTTTTCAATCCTATTGAATGTTGCATGCTGCAAGAATCCCACATGATCATCTGACAGCCTACAATGCTAACAACGTGCAGCTGCCTTGGCGTCATCGAGCACAAATTTCCAGAGCACCGAGAATCTGCATAATTGAAATAGTAACAAGGCATGTGCAATCAGGAAAACACATTTCCAAGGAATATTTCACCTCTCCTGATAAACAATTAATATTATAAAGCAAGGAGACGTTTAAAAGGAATATTTATGTAAGGAGTGTGCCCTTAAAGAGAAAGTAGCCTTAGGAATCTTACTCTCATTGGCTCAGAAAAAGAGTAGACAGAGGAGGAAGAAAAGGCAGAAGAATCACATTAAAATGGGACCTTTGATATAGAGGGCACAACCCACAAAAGCCTTGTTTATACTTGTTTAGTATATTTTGTTAAAACTAATGTTAGTTTGCTAAAAAAAAATAAAAAAAAAAAAGAAAGATTTTGAACATTCTTTCCAATTATAAATATAAAAATCATTATGATAGATGTTTCAAGGCATTTTTTGAGTAAAGACAGTGTCACAGGTTAAGTATTCATGAATAAGAATGTAAAACACAAAGGTGAGGTGGTTTTAGAACACCTAAACACCTACAAAAGCTATTTAAGACAGAAAGAAGTATAAGCAAGTTTTATTTCCTTAATTTTGTTTTAGCTAACTGATGCTGCCACTGGTCATGCAGAGAATCTAATCACTAGAGCATTTAGTGCAATAAGAGACAGCAACTGCTTTGGTGACATTAATAAACCAGAAGGGAAGGAGAAAACTAATTAAAAGAAAAATTGGTGTGACCTTTTTGTTTAAAGCACTGAACTGCGACAAGGATGATGATGTCAGGACACCAATGGAGAGCCTCCAAACTCCAGATCTTTCACGTATGACAGACAATTCTTCTGGTGATTTTCCAACTCTGAGGCAAGCAGCTTCATGCTACTGCTAACGTGATAATAAAATTAGGTCTTCCAAACTACACAATATTCAAAGCTTATAAATAGAATAACATGCGAGTTAAAGACACCATGGTGGTGACCTTTTTAAGCTTTCTGACCACCAGATGTGCTGGATAAATATGAGAAGCTTTTGAACGCTGCCTCGCAAATCACTGTCATTTAACCATGTAATTCAGATGTTAGCTTTCCCTGCAATGAGTGTCCCACTATGGAAATAATATAACATGAAAAACTGTGTATCTTCAGAATGATGAAGACGCTTCTGTCTGGGGACACGGGGGTGGGATGGAATAGACAACTGGAAGTCATCTTACGTCACAGCGCTGAGACCCCCCCAGTGCCTAATGCTACAGGAATTGAGCAACCACACCAGCAGATTGGCTGATTTTCTTCGAGCTCCTAGTAACCTCTCCGTAACACGCTGCCATGGCACACACGCTGCCGCCACGGCGCTTCGCGTTCGTCCACTGAAGAGTCAACAGAAAAGCTGTCTCCAGCCTGTGGCTTAGCTCTGGACAAATTCACAATACCCGTTTCCTCCAACTGCCCTAGAATCAATCAACAGCTTCATAAAAGCTTGGAGAGTACCTTTAGGAACCTAATCATAGAAAGCCTTTGGTTCATAGGGAAAAACAAAGCAATAACAACAAAACGCTGCTCAAAATACTCAATCCTCATGTCATCCAGATCCAAAAGCATAAAGAATTCACAAGACCATTATCTAGATCAAACTTTGCTTCAATTCCCTCATTTTTCTCAAAAGAAAACAAACTTACCCACAATATCTTTCCGTAAAAAGCTGAAAGCTAAATTTCCAAAACCTGTGCTTGGAAAAGATCTCGGGTGCTATCCATGTGGTCAGCATTAGACATCTGCGCCTAACGAAGTCATCTAGGGTCCTCCACTCAGTGGAGGAAAGGAGCAGGCAATTCCAAGGTGTGCTCATTGCATCCAGTCGGATACCCCGGACGAAAACCGGGAAAACCACATGTTGTTTTCTTTTTAAGCACACACACAGACTTATTGTATCTACTGCCTAGTTTTGTACCTTGGTTTAGACGTTGCAAGCAGGAATACCAAACTAGCCAAATGTTATGGAGTTTTGTGTATTACGGGGAGCAGGAGCAGAAAGGAAAGGGAAGGAGAAATAGAAAATGAATTTTTGGTGAGAGAACATACCAGTGATCTGCGTTACTTTAGCTTACAAAAGTAATACTTCCAGTGATACACCACATAAGGAAAATTCCATCACCACCTATAAAGCAAAAATGTAGGCTTGGAAAAAAAAATATCTGCTGTGTAGCCATTCCTTTCCATTTACATAGCAAGAGCAGAGGACCCTATGGCAAGGTCAGTGAAGAGTTGCTTAAAGTGATCCATAAATTAATTCTGCCTTCCAATGCAAAAAGGCTAAGAACCAGCAGCAGGAAAACCATGGAAAACATACACAGAAAAAAGAAAAAGAAAAAATCTCTGCCCCATCTCCAGGCAAGACCTCTTTCCAATCCCAATATTTGCTTTGCCACACCGGGTTCTCTCATCTCGGTATCATCCTGGATGTCTTCACAGGAGATATGCCGAAGGTCTGTTCACAGTCTACTTGGTCCTGGCAGGCTAAGAGGTGCCAAACGCAAAGTAGGTCAAATTTGCTCACCAGGAACCTTCTTGGCAGCATTTCTCTTACCCTGAAGGTGTTGTAAATACTTAGCAACACAATGCAAACGGGTTTTAGCTTCCAGTGACGAATAAAGGAGTTGTTATGGTACAGCCCTGCTCAGAGGTCTGATCTCAAACAAGGGGAAGCAGCTCTTCAAGGCCAGGACGTGGCTCTGCGCAAGGCTGAGAGGTCCCCAGCATCTTTGATGATACGGCCTCATGCCACATTCCAGTAGGTTAAACATTTGAAGTCCATTTCTGTCCTATCTCTTACTGAAATTAAGTAGTGTCTGTTTCAGAGATGAGTTTTCAGAATAATACTAGTTCCATATTATAGTAATAAAATGAGTAATTTAAAAATCAATAGCTCATTACTTACATAGGGCCCTCGTTATTTTGCCTTTGGGCTGATTAAGTCCAAGATTCGCTGCATATAAAGTTAAATGCACAATACAGCCTGTCAAGTGCAGAATACTTCTGGATTAAATTCTGTGAAAAATCCTAACTACAAAAATATCAGGCAAAAAAGTCAATCCAAAACCACTTTTGCTTTATCCGTACACTAGACAATAGAAATGTTCATCTGTACATAACTGCTGTGACACTAAAGTGTTTGAAAATTTTGCAAAAGGATGCATAACTTTACAGACTCGTAAAGAGTGAAAGTGAGATTTACCATGAGCAGGAAGACACCGAAGATTTGAACTCACTCATCGTAATACTTATCATCTGTGTAGACTTTTCAAGACAGCAAGAGTTTCTACTACTTCTCTAACAGTCCATTAAAACAATACTTGAGAAAAGAGGCAAAAAGGCTAAGTTCTTTATAAAGATCTTTATGAAGAAAAGATCAGAGGTTGAAGCACAGGTTCCTGACGGAGGCAAAACCAGGAAAGCTAGCCATGAAGCGTCAAACAACCAGACCCTATCATAAAGCATGAATTACTCCAAAACAAAAGTCAAAATACTCAATTATAAAGATGGAAGCCATCAGGACCATAAAACATGTTTAAAGAGTTTGTATCTCATGAGTCATAGCTGAATCTGAAAACTGGCATGTAGAGTAGTCCCTACTGAACTGATTGTCATTATCTGGAAACAAAAATGGTATATGGTATATTGTCAATTTTTCCCCACGGTAGCGAGAAAAAAAAAAAAAAGAAAAAAGAAAGAAAGAAAAAGAATTTGAATGGCAGGTATTTTCCCCCTTCTCTCCAATCACGTATGCCACATAAACACAGTCTAGGTCTAGTCCCTTGGCTTTAACAGCAGCAAAAAACTTGAGTGTCAGACAACCAAAATTACAACCAAATTATCAGCCTTCTCGGCTCACAAGGCCTTCAGTCAGATGGCTTTACCCACCAGTGAGGAATTACCTTGGCCAAGTTCAATTCTTTCAGTAGCTCAGGTAAATCTGAATTTTCTCATAATAACTTTTTTTTTTTGTATTCTCTCCTCACTACTCCCAAAATTCCTTTTTTTTTTTTTTTTTTTGAAAGATCTACTGAATACAGTTGGCGCCAGTGAAACTACAGACCAAAGGAAACTTTTTTTAATCCATGCCAGACACACACCCACAGGAACCTGACCCTCTCCCTAAATTTAGATAGAATGTCTGAAAGCAATTGCACAAATCCTAAGACAGTCGATTTACATCAGTTAGGCTGAGGTTCAAGCCCACAGAAGAGCATTCCGAAAGGGCATTTAAGAGCAGCTCTTGCTTCATGTTCCAACTTTTAAAGCCCATTAAAGAATTCTTTCTCTGAAGACTTCCCCTGTTTTGGGAAGTTACCTATTCTGATAATATAGATAATTGA